TTCTTCCCTTATTAGTTAGGACAAGATCCAAGATAGATGATCACCTAGCCATATGTACAGGTTTTGGAACAGAAACTTTTGTTCCACATAAGTTAGGAACTTGCTGAACATTTTATGTTGCCTGTATTATTTCTTTAGCAGATATCTGGAAAATTGAAGTCTGCCTTCAGCTACCATGACATAAGTTTTAGATAATTTTGTCATCTCTTTGCAGAGTGCCTCATTCACCTCTCCTGATTTGGCAGTCTGTAACTTTGGCAGGCCCCACTATTATATCACTGCTGTACCTTTTCTCTTTGTCCAGATACATTCCAGTATACTACCTTCTTCATCTGGAGCTGGGGAACCAAGTATGTGTATTTTTGATATATAAGATGTCATCACCACATTTTCTCCCAACCCTGTCCTTCTGAAACTGATTATACCCCTCAGCGTTGATGTTCCTGTTGTAGTTGTCATCCCATCAAGTCTTTGTAACACCAATCAGATCATTGTTCTTTTCATGCGACTTCCAGCTTTTCTTGTTTGTTCCCCATGTTTCTCGCCATTGGATGTATGTATTGGACATATTTTGTGTCTTGACCTATTTGTTTCTCTCTTGCATCCCTTATTGGTTTCATGTGGCCTATGGTCCTTTCACTGAATAGAGCTGCTTCTGGCCCTTTCCCATCTGGATTTTTTGCTCTGATGCTGGAGAGTTTTGTTTTACTGTTTCCCCTGAAACCTAGCTGAAAACCCTCCTTACTAGGTTGGCCAGATGATGCCTAAAGATTCTCTTTCCAGTTCTGGTCAAATGGATCCTGTTTTCTGATAGCAGTCCCCCTCCACAAAACATCTGCCCATTCTCAAGGGATCCAGAGCCTTCACATCCATTCTGGTCTCGGCCATGTGCTGACTTCCATGATACAATGGTCTCTGCTGGGACCCTTTACTTACTACTGGGAGGATTGCTGAGAACTCAACTTGTGCTCCAAGTTCCTTAATCCTTTTGCCAAGAGCCTCAGAGTTTCCCACGATCTACTCAATGTAATTCCTGTCAATATTGTTTGTGGCAAGCAGGGAAGGGTAGTGGCTTGAAGGATGGATGAGCTTTGGCAATCCTACTATGATATCCTGAATACAGGCTCCAGGCAAACAGCACACCTCCCAGGACCCTGCATCCAGATGACAAATTGTATTTAGAGGGTGCTGGCCCCCGCAGCTTTACCTGGGATCCTAGGGGCCATGGCAGGAATGCTGGCCGACAGCTGGAGTGTGGCTCTGATCGGCCAGGCTCCAGTTTTGGGCAGCAGACACTGCCACCATGTGCACTGCTCTGCTTTTTTCAGCATGGTGTTTTTTTTGTTGTGTTTTTCTTTGACCCTGACATCTTCCAAGGTCAAAAGATCCCCCCATGCTGCAAGGTAGCAGCGCAGGGAACGCCTGCATGTGTGGTGCAGCAGGCAGGTCTGTGGCACCACATCTACACTCATCTGGATGCAGCCTTAGCGTTTAGTTCATCACTTAATAAAAAAAATCAAGTCTCCTTTAAATATTTAGATTAGCGGTGGCTTATTTTGGTTCCTGAGAAGTCTGTTTTGGCTTTCGGGGCAAGTATGTACACAGCTTTTGTTAAAGAAGAAACCACAACTTTACTTTGTTTTCAGTATAATCATATTTACGTACAACAGCTGTGACTGCTGCTGCTGCTGTACTTTTAGTCCTGAATCTGTAGGTGCTTTTTAGTTTTTGAAGTGCAGCTTAAGTTTACATAACAGTCTTTTCATAGTAAAATGCTAGTTAACATACAAATTCCTGCAGTAAATATACTGTAAATAACTTAAGTACTAGAACATTTGGATAATAAAAATCTCTGACTTTTTGACCCCCTGCCTGGAAAAAAATGGCAAAATAAAATTTTTTACATAGGCATTTTTGCCTTTTTACCCGCTTTGGAGAGGGGGGTCACTTACTGGTCCCAGGTTTTGCATATCATGTGTTTTCAGATGAGGCAGATTTTGGAAGAGTTCAGTAAGTGTCTCTAACTCTTTGTCTTGTACGACGTACTTCTCAGGTCCGACTCCTTGTCTGCTGCTTCTTTGGGATGTGATTCTCAACCACCTGGTTCTCCCCTTTTTTGCAGTTATTTTTCTAATGCATATTTTCCCTGGAGTTTCACCTCTGTAGACACTAATTTACAGTTTAATTTTTGAGGGAAGCCAGAGGCAGGTAAAGTGAGGAACACAGGCTTTACAAGGAAACTTGCAACACCCATTTAATGCTCTGGTACTATCTCTGCCAGTAGCAGATCTAGGCAAAAGCACAAGTACTTGAATGCAAATCCTTCCTCAGGTGTTTTGGAGTGGAAGGGATGAATGCAAAACCTTCTTGCTCAATTTCTTGTAGTTTATTTCATTTTTCTGGTATAAAAATGGCTCTGATTGAATTAGACAGTATATCTCTGTTAAATGTATCCTAAAATCAGAATAATTTAAATTAGATAACATGACCCGATCCTATGGCGTGTGGGCTGGATCGAGCCTACAAAGTAATTTTTGGCTGAAGTGATTGGTGGCAGAAATTTGGCTGCTGAATTGAAAACATGGCAGTAGTAGGGGCAGTGGTGACTTCATGCAAAGTGGAGGCCCGTCTTCTGAGAAAAATATGCTAATTTTAGCATTCCACTCCATAAAGGTTTTTGACCCCTGATTTCAAATAACTGGCTTTAATTATAAGTTAAATCAGATGATGAAATCTTGCTTTCGATCAATTTTAAGCTTGAGTTACATTTATATTTTTTTCCTAAATAAAGGTTGTCTCTCATTGATCAGCAACTGTGAAGACACGTTGATTTGCAACTACCTATAACCATAACGCTAGATTGGTGTGTTTTGCTAATTGCCGATATACTACATACACAGGCAATCGATTATAGCTTAAATTCTTATTTTTGCACATTCCAGTTTGTTAAAAATGGAGAAAGCCACTTATTTACTAGACCTTTTTTTATCCATAATTTGTGTGAGTTTGTTTTTAGGTTTGAAATTCTAATTCAATTACATGGAGAAATCTAGTGTGTTACAATTTTAACTAAGTAAAACTACCTTAAAATGTTGAATACATAAAGAAAAAAGTTCATAAAAATGTTTTGTATTTAGAAGTGATTTAATTAAACAAAGAATGTTTCCTTTCTAGTTATTAAATTAAACTTTTTCCCCCTGGGACATGAGACTGGAAAAAACGAAACAAAAGTAGGGAGATGCAGAACTTGTCTGCTTGGCTGGAAAAAAGTGATCCATAGGCACAGAAGAAAGGAATCAATAGCACAGTAACACTCAACCTTTTAGAGTCAGGGCCCCTTCAAAACTTCTTTGAATTCAGTTACCCCCAGGTAAGAACCACTGCCTCAGCTGAACTCAGTGGTTCTCAACTGGAGTGACTGCTGCTGCAGACAGGTGTAGCATCAGACAGGGAGGGAATGGTTATGGCAAGAGCATGCACCCCTACCTGCACTGGGGTTATCTGATGAACCTAAAGCAGTCAGCAGCTCTCAGTTCTGCTGTAGCCCTTCCCAGTTTGGTCCTGTGTGCTCTTCCCCAAAATGCTATAGCCACAGCTTTCTCCCTGTAGCAGTTTTACTTGGTGGCAGCAGCAGCTGCTGCTGCACCCCTGAAAGGATCTCATGGCACCTTTCCATTTCTCTAGCATACCAGTTGAAAACTACTGTAATAGTATGATAGATTTAGGCTGTGGGCAAATACACATTTTACCCATCTTAAAAGGCCAGGCATGGGGAGTGCCTGCTTGGGAGGCATTACTGTTAGGCTGTAACTGTTACATCTTAATGATCCTGTAACAATAAATACTAGTTAAAATTACACTAATTTTATGCCTGCTTCATTCAAAAGTTGGAATGTTTGTGCTACAGTTGTATCGCTGCAGAATCCTGGAGATGTAGCTGTGGCATGATGTCAGCTTATATCTGTATCCTTTGTGATCAATACAGTTGTTTCATCTATTTATGCTTTAGTGTATATATGTTTATATAAATGTGTGTGTGCACGCATATATAGCGTGTGTATATACGCACACACTTTTATGTATATACACATTTTAATTTTTATATATATAAAATATATAAATATAAATAAAAATTTAAAAAGTGTGTGTACACACATTATATAGGTGCACACACATACATACATATACACACACACACACACACACACGCGCACATAAATAAATGTATATAAATAAAAAATTAGTGGTATGAATTCAGGATGTAAATATAATTTAAAAATTATCCGCTTAACCAATATAATTAGAGAAGGTTAAATGTTTAACCACTAACCCATACCTATTCCTGGTTGGGGGGGTGGATCCCTGGACTGGTGCCTGCCCTGCTCTGCCGGAGCGGAAGGGCTACAGCCGCCTGCCTGTAGTAGCGTGGAGACCCAGGGGTCGTCCGCTGACCCACTCAGAGACGGATGTTGCTCCCCAGGGTGGCAAGCCCTGCCAGGCAGCATGGCCCACATGGAAGCCATGGGTGGCAGCAGCAGACAAGGGGCTTTCCCAGCCTGCTGCAGCTACTAGAGCACTGAGAGGAAGGGAGCTAACTAGCTGTGGGTACTAGTCGTCCCCCCCTGCCCCCTTGCCCTTCCCTCACCCTCCTCACTTCTCCTCCCTCCTGCCTACCCTGATCCCTTCCTGTTCCCGAAGCACCACGCCACAAACCTTCCCCGCCAGGCTGTTTCCCGTGTTAAATGTTCATCGGTAATGCATTACCATCATAAATATACTTATTATTTAAATGTTTAACCTTTCACATCCCTAGCATGAATACCATGCTGAACACCTGTAAAGTATTCCAGAGATGGCAGCTATACTAGAGCAGAGTATGACTGTAATAGCTGTTGACACTTTTCTGAGCTGTCTTTTTAGACAAACTGCTAACATAAACTTTTTCACGAAGAAGGTTTGAACGCTACACTAATATAATCATAGTACTATTTTTGTTTCAGCCAAGGAATATTGCAGGGCAATATGTGCCTATGAAGGTTTAAATGAAGATGAACTTGCTTTTAAAGAAGGGGAGGTTATCCAAATAGTAAGTAAGGTAAGGCTTTCACAGTTTTTATGTGTGTAGTTGAAGTAATTAATATTAGCACAGGAAGGTCTCTTAATTTCCAGATCTGTTCTGACTAATATGTTTTGTTTAACATGCTGCTGCTGATTGGTTTTATTTGAAAAGACCGGAGCCTATCCTGAGAGGTATCCTTGGTTATTCTTGCAATGGTGTGCTAAAGCATTGTTTTTCAACCCATGGGTCACGACCCAAAAGTGGGTTGCAAGAGTATATGAAAGGGTTGTGAACAAACTTAAAAAAATGGATCAACAAATGGATTCTCCTTTAAAAGAGAAAAACATGGGAAACCTGCTAAAGGTTATAAAAGCAGAAAAA